ATTTTCTTTAACTTCCGAAACGACTGTTGACGCATGTCTACGACTAGATATTTTAAAAACATATATGTAAAAATTTAGAAAATGAGTGGATGTGCAGCACTGTTTTACAACAATTCTTTCTTTGCCCAATTTCTTCATCTCTAGATAATTTTATCTAGACACCTTCATTGTCAATGGAGACATTTCCTGGATAAGATTATCCGCAATTTATCTGGAAGTGAAGAAATTGAGTAAGGCTTATTTCATATTTATGTTGCTGAAATATAATGTTTACAACATCTAAAATTAGTGTGATTCAAATATAAGCGGGAATTGATAAAACTTAGCGAGAATAAAAACTGGCTACTGTATGGTAACTTTTATTATAGTGTCTCTAATCATAAAATCATTGAACTTTTTTTAAATTAATTCTCTAATGTTTAAAATTTTATAGAAAAAGATATTAGCATTAAGAGAGATAGAAAAATTTTATAAAGTTAATAAATTAAAGAATTTAGAAGTAATTAAATTAAGTTAAAAATTAATGTATTTAAAATTAACTAACAATAAGTTAAGTTAAAAGTTATTAATTTTTTAACTTTTTTTTTAACTTTTAACATTTTAATTAGTTAATACTCAACCTCTGGCTATAAGTTTGTACTAGAATTGATATTAAATGTTTACATCTATAGTTAATTTTGATATATATAATAATTAAGTTAAATCAATACTGAAAGAAGATTCAAAAGGAAGAATCGAACGTTTTCTTTTTATTTCAATTATTATGTTCTTAATCAATAAATTTTGTATTTTGTATTTTGTACATATTTCCAAATCTTTCCACTTTCGAGAAATTTTTCGAACATATCGAGGTCGCGAGGACAATGCGATCTCGATTAGCAAGACCTTTCGGAATCGAAGGATTTGTTATCGCTGCTAGATACGGCATTCTTCTCATTCTTCATTCTCGACGGGATATCGAGACGGGTTTCTCGTCGACAGTTTCTCTGTCGCTCGACGGTGGTCGACAATATCGTCGGTATACGATTGCCCGGGGTTCATCTTTCTACGCGCGATCGTCGAGTCGGTCGGTCGGCAAGGAACATTTACGGAGAGGATAATAGATAGAGAAAGAGAAAGAGGGAGAGGGAGAGCACGATAAGCACAGCTCCGTCGTTGAGGATCGTATTACGGACTTTATTATTCGCTAATCGCTGAATGTCCGGATAGATAGATAGACCAAGATACGGCCTCGCCGACATGGCTCCTGCTCGCTCAATTAATCCCGTCGGTCTCTTACTCACAGGGGTGAAACCTAAGACTATCGATGTCCTCTGTGTTACGCAGATATACGTCGGGAAGATAATCGCTAATAATTTCGAGCCTTTACTGAGATAAAGCTTATCAAAGGAGCGCAACAAATATTTATTCGAAGGGCGATATGCAAAGAGTAAAGGACTTTTGCATGTAATTTTCTCATATTATAAACTAATAATTGAGGAGATGGGCGGAATAAAGGCACAATTCTACTTAGGCTCTTTTTCCGCAATTAGCTTTTTTATTTAATATTGATCGTAATAGAGAAGATCGTAACATGTAACTTTTTAAAGACATTATATAAATTCATTTGATATTGTACTCATTTACATATATAATAAAAAAGTAACAAGTTATTTTAATTTTTATTAATATCAAGATTCTGTAATTAGGCTTTATTCCGCCCATCCTCTCAATTGATGGACAGTGTTGATGTTAATTTGTTTCTGTGGTAATATTAAATATAATACTTTTGACGATTATATTTAACGTTTATATCAAATTTAATACACTAGATATTAAAGCTAATATAAATTTCAATAGCTTCCAACCATCAAAGTTGATATTTTATACATATACTTTATTAAATAGTAAAACATGGATTATTTAATAATAATTATAATATGTATTAATAGAATAGTATTGAAATTTGAAGAGTAAACTAATGAAATATAGAAATTTATAAAGCGATATGATCTTTCTATGATCAAAAAGTGTGAATTCGCTAATATTGTTCGTTGATTGTAGATTCAATTTTCTAATACTTACATATTGAGTTTAGATAAACAATTTCTATGTACTGTAATAGTATATATTCTATATACTGTAATAGTATACAGTAAATAAACTACGACATAGTGCATTTTCAGTGCCAACTATATAATTTTAGTTGTGTTTAAAGAGCTATAAATATAATTATTATTGCTAATATTATAGAGTAATTATTATAAAAATGGAATTTCCAATCATAATTATTTTTCCAATTATAGTACAAATACTAAACACTTTTAAAGAAAGGTTTGGATACATAAAGACATATAAAGACAGAAACAACAATAAATAAAGCATTAATTTGTTTATATAATTTTAATTTATAATGTTCATGTTATTTATATGACGAATATTTTTCTTAAGTATTAAATATTTGTATTGAGAAGGATCCAAATTGACGATCGGAACGTCTACAATTTATATGTAACGAATGTGTAAATTAATTATATTAACATAACTAGTTAGTTCTTATAGGCACCTTTATATTTTGATTTATTCTTCAGAGCCTTTGCTATTCATTCTAAACACTTTTCTTTCAGTGCAAAATTTTCATTTTTAATGAATGAAAAGAAAAAACCTGCTACAATGAAAATATTAAATACGCGCTCTAGTCTGTAGAAGAATTATGTATGAAGAATTATCTTTGTCCATTTTTACATATTGTTGTTTACGTTTCTGTTAGTCTAATTTCATTCGACTATATCACTTAACGTTATGCAAAAATATGACATTTGAAAGATTGCAAGTCGCCTTGAAATTCGCCTAACGAGGGCAGCGATTACGAGGCAGTTAGAAGAAGAGAATTATAGTAGAAGGATGCCTCGCCAGGCGGTCCAGAACGGATGCTGAAACAGGAGGGAGGAGTAGTAACGAGGCATCGCGTGTTTAGATCCACATCGTGTGAATCGGGGTGTTTAAAGGGCTTACGTGTAAGAGTTATGGTCGCTAATCCGGGAAGGCTGCGCGTGCTTTTCAAGGCGAGAAGAGCCTCGACGTATCGTTCAACAACGACAACTCCTTCACGTATCTCGTAGAAGTCGTACTATTCGCATTTAGATCGGCACTTGATTAAAAGAAGTATCAGCAATTATCTTGTTCTAACCCTTGTTTTATATCTAATTTATCATGGAACAGATTAATTTTTTTCAAATCATATCATTATTGCTTCTAAATATGAATGTTTGTATATTAAAGGACTGCTTTGCTGAAGTATCTAAAAATTTAACCAGATATAGATCTAAAAATAATTTTTGGACTATCAAAATAATTATGTAGGATTGAGCTGGTTGCTAGGAAGGGGGGAGTTTAATCATCCTCCTGTCCATAATTACTGTTTTTTGACATCAATTCTAGAAGAGAAAG